CAGGTACTAGAAGGTACTAGAAGATTGGTAGCAGCCGAATTCGACTTGGAACATGAATGGACAATCATAAAAAGAAAGGCTATGTTATTTAAATTGGAATAAAAGAACTCATATATTTTTACTTTGTATGTTTACATATTCCTATTATATAAATTGTGCAATAGATCTAGATTCAATTTCAACGCTAGCATCACAAGAAATATCCGATTTTTCAAACCTTGAGGGTGTGGGTGTGGGCGTAATTTCACTTTAGGGACCAATTACACCCATACCCACACCCACACCAGGTAGTACCTGCTAATACCTACTAGTACCTGCTAGTAGCTGGTAGTACCTTCTAGTACCTACTAGTACCTGCTAGTACCTGATGGTACCTGCTTAGTCACTTGAAAGACAGTAACAGAATTTGAACTATTTTGTAATTCATATTTTAGAATTACTTTGTAGTTCATTTCTGTCATCCAGTGTTTCCATCGGTGACATTTTCGTAGTTTTCGAGCTTTCACCGTGCATATCTTATCTATTTATCAATCTTATGATACTCGAAGCATGAACTTCACTGTTGTTTTTCCTCTTTCTATAACATATTAACTAGTGATTATAACTAATTCTTTCATTAAATAAGAGCTCTCATGTTTTTCTTTATTATATCAGTTTCAATCCTTCCCATAGATTCGTCTATAGCCTGCTCTCTTCTTCTAAATTATAAAAACCCAGTTCCTGTCGAGAGTAGATAGATTACATCCACTAATCATGACTATTCACTGAAAAAGGATAAAATCCAGTTTCATGTTTAATTCATTCAGAATAACTACTTCCGGTGCCCTATGAATATTTGGTAGTATCCTAGGTAGAGAAAATGCCTATATGACTTTAGTGTCGAACGGATCATTCCCAGTGTCCCAAAATATTGTCACTAATGTCCTATTGAATATAAATATCTATATAGTTTTACTCCTAAACTTGTATATAAAATTGTTTAGATGGAATTAAAAGAAATTCCACTATTGAAATCTCCACCTATTAGTATGTAAATAATGAAGAAAAATAAATTTAAATTTAAATCAAAATTATTTTAGATGAAAAAAGTGCAATAAAATATGTCAATATTGATACATCATTATTTATCATGATTTGTTTAGCATCAAATACAAATGTAAGTCCACATTTTTAATGAAAAAAATTAACTTAGCTATTATAAGACTAAAAAGAATCTCACAATAAAATTGTTCTATATCACTTGTTTCATATTGCGATTTAACTAAGCTAAAGGATTTCTATTTAAATTTACGAAAGCGCTATCTAAATCGAATGAGAACATGAGGTGATAATATTTTCTAAATTTTTATTTAGTTAGAGATCTCATATTGATGAACAAAATATGGAATTGTTTTTTTTTGAATAAATTTTAGAATGATATTTTAATTGAAAAAGATAATGAATATGCATTACAGTTATCAATTTATTGTCACTCATCAATGAAAAGCACAACGCCACGTAATCTAAATTCAATTCCATCAATGATAATTTAATGAAATATTAATTGAAAATAATGAAAATTATAAACGTTTATTAAAAACTCGTCAATATTCAATATTAAATCAATTAGATAATAGAATTGATTTAAATCGTTTTGAAAATGATAGTGAATATCGTTGTTTAGCAATACTTAGTTTATTTATGTGTAATGATTCTTCATTTGAATATGGTGAACAATTAGCAATTAAATATAATATATCAATTGGTAACTCCACCACGGAAATTACAACTTTGCAATCTCTGTGTCGGTCACAAGTCCGAATGAAGGAGGAGTGTTGGGTGGAAGGGGTGCAGATACCGCCACCTGTAAA